TTCGCTGTAATGACTGACCAGATCTGGTGTGAAGCTAGTAACTGGTACACCACATATTTGAGTTTTACTTTCCTGATTTAGCTTCCCTTTTATGTTACATTGCATTCATTCTCCTGGTTAATTCATTATGTATTGAAATATTTCACCTAGTGAGTGACTTGGCTTGTAAGTGGGAGGTCAAACAAGCGCATGAATTGATGCTGGCACATTGCATCTTGGTTGAGGATTAATGCTGGATTTTCTCTTCTTTCTGAAAAGTAGTTAGACTTGTTCTTGATCTTCTGACATGCCAGAGTGTGCATAAAGCAATTCTTGAAGTTATCTTTGCCAACTTTCTAAAACAGGGGACACGCAATGCAACTACTGGTATATCTCGGTGGCTGCCAACACAGAGCTCAGAATAGAATGGATTGCATTGTAGTCTCACATATAAGGAATAGATTTTGACTTCTGTCCTGTTTGGTATAATTCATAGAATCATGGAATCATTAAGGTTGGAAGAGACCTTCAAGATCATCTGGTCCAACCATCCCCCCACCACCAATGTCACCACCATGTCCCTAAGCACCACGTCCAGCCTTTCCTTGGACACCCCCAGGAACGGTGACTCCACCACCTCCCTGGGCAACTAGTCCCAGTGCCTGACTGCTCTTTCTGAGCAGAAATGTCTCCTAATTTTCAACCTGAACCTCCCCTGGCACAACTTGAGGCCATTCCCTCTAGTCCTATCACTAGTTATGTGTGAGAAGAGGCCAACCCCCAGCTCCCCACACCTTCCTTTCAGGTACGGAGCAATAAGGTCTCCCACAAAATGCCAGGAGCAGTTGATTCTGTCCACTGAGAGAAAAGTAGCACTGTCAGGCAAGAGGAGTTACACACAAGAAAACCTTAGGAAAGCGTTTTGGTGTCCCTGAGCAGAACACTGCAGAAATCCTGTGGATTCCCAGTGTCTATGAACAGTATCCAGTAGCACAGTTATTGCGGAAATCTCTCCTTTTATGTAAACTCTGGTGCTTGGATAAAGCTGAGTGACTGATCTCATTACAAGGTAAGAGTGCTCCACAGCAGCTCTGCAGTTCTGCCTACTTAGGTCCTGGATAAATGTGGCCTCGCATTGCTTGAAATTACAAGGTTACTGTCCATTAGCTGTGCGTAAATAGCTGACTTGAAATAGAATATATTTTGGAAACTGCTTTGAGGGCTAGGAGAAGGTAGTTAGAGTGGAAAATGGTAAGCCAAAAAAGTGGAGTATTTCCCTTAATGACATTTCTGAAGCCAGTTGATGCTTTTAGCATCACTCATCATATATTAACAGGACTTTCAGGGATGTCCTAAAGAGCATGATAGGTATGATTTGTATGTAGGTCCTGAGGGTTCACATGAAAAAAGAGCTTAGCTTACAACACAGAAACCCACAGGTTGGTGGGCTGGTAACTGGAAGCAAGCAAAACTGGCCTGAATGGATTCACAACCTGTGTTTATTTGGATCTGTTTTCAGAGTAGGGTTGCAGTGAGTAACAGTCTCTAAGGAGTCTAAGGAGTACAAGCACTTCATAAATTATAAAAGGAATTTGGCATTTCAGCAGTCACAGTTTCTGGGTTTAGAATGGGAAATTCTTTTATCTTCAGGTGATTCTGTAGAATTACTTTTTGACCCTAATGAAGTAACAGAAATATTTGAGTAATACAAGTAATTATGTACTTTGTTGTCTTGGTGAGATCTGCTGTCAGACCGGAGGATATGGATGAACAAATTACTAGAAAACAAACTAGGGTGTGTAGATTTAAAGCTAACTAGCTTCTTGGCAGCACCTGGGGGTGGGCTGCTCTGATTCTTAGCTGCATATGCAAGATAATTTACTCCACCTTTGCTGAGGGATGTATGATTTTATGCTTGAGAAGCTCAGCATCTAGTGGATGCACAAGTCTGACCAACAAGGCTTGTCTGCTTCGAGGTCCCATGGCAGGCTGGTGTCTCAGACCACATATAACAAGCACTTTGACAGGATCAGACTTCACAACGAATTGTACTTTTTCATACACTAAGTTGGTGTTGGCAAATAAGTGTCAGCAAGTGAGACAGAGAGAACAGTCGCTGGAGAAAACAGAAATAGACTTTGAAGCAAGGACAATCATCCAGGGCTTTCTTTCTGAGCTCTAACTGCTAAGCTGCAGAGGATCTTTCTCTCTTCTCTCTGCCATGAATCCAGCATTGTTTTTTCTCTCTGTGGAACACATCACCTGAATATTTACCCTGGTTCTTGGACAAAGTGTTACAGCTTGAGCAAACTCTGACCTAGTTTAGTGTGAGCGTGGATGTGCCTGCACGGTTCCCGTAGGCGTGACTTGCTGGGTTGCAGGAGGCACAGGAATGCAGCTCCAGGCTTGTCGCAGGCTTCCAAGCGGGGACGTTTCAGTTCGTTCTTCAAATCAGCACGAGCTCATTATGAACCCCTTAAAAATAGATGGCCTTCTTACTTCCAGCTGCTAATGTGAATTTAAAACAAACACACACAGGGTTAGCATTACTAACAAATCACCAAACTACATTATTTTTGTCCTTTAAAAATGCACATTTTAAACTCATCATTGCAAGGACTATGCTCTGGGTACAAAACTCAGAATACAAGCAAACTGTGATCTTGCTTGGAGCTGACCAGCCCTAATAACTCTGCTAGAAAGGGTGTCAGTAACAGGGTTAGCATGCAAGCTGATGAGTCTAAATTCCCTTTTAAATAGAAATCTCTATATGTCAGTGTTGGATTTTTCTTTTGTTTTGTAAACTACCAGAGCAATAAAAATCAGAAGTGTGGAATGGATTAAGGCTACAGGCTTCATCTTGAAATTGAGAACAAAATGAGTAACCAAGAAGTGTGAGTGTGGTGACAAACTGTGGGTGCGTGCTGTGCTTCGGAGTATTATTTTAAAGTAAACACGGGGAGCACGCATGTCACTTGGCACAGCATTTCTCCTGGCATACTGCATTCTAGTTATTCTGTCCCTGGGGTAAATCTTCATGTAATAATCTCATTTTGAATCCACTCATACGATGCTGTTAAAAGAAGGTTAAATTTCCTTTCATGTTAGATTTAGGGGTCAACCCAGTTGATGCAGTAAATTACTGCAATGCCACAATGCTCTGGAATAAGGATAGCCTTATTCCGGGAACATGTCTGCTGAGGCAAGCATATTTTTTGGTGATTTGTTTCATAGATCAGCTGTATGTAGATTCCAAATCCACTCAGCACATGGCAGAATTTCTTTCCTATAACAAAATAGGGATTATCTTAATCAGCATGTTGCAATATAAGCAATGTAAACAGAAAACACTATCACAAGTTTTACTGGCTTTCAAGTGGCGAAGACATTAATCAAAGATATCCCATATACCCTGGCTATCACCTTCCTCCTGATTTCTCCATTTCATGAAGTAGTTTGAGTCTTACTATTACAACTAACGTGTGTAAGCTAGGGTGCAGGCACTTCATATCCCTGCCCTGATAATAAAAACTTCACAGGATACACTCAGGGACATCACGAGTTCAGATTTCTACCCTGAAAGGCAACTGAAATGCTCACTGACATTATTATATGGTATTTTTCAGACTGTAGTACTCCAAATACTGCCGTTTACATCCAGACGTTCCTCCAGTTTCTAAAAATATTGTACAATACCATGTCACCGAGCAGCTTAGAGGTTGTGTCATAGTAAAATAGAATTAGTGTAAGGGACTCATCAGAAGTCATTAAACTATTGGCAATAGAAAAGAATAATGCAAGTAAGTGCAAGATTAGCACGTCTCTTGCAACACAGTGCAAAGGCAGCTGTGCCCCTGAGGCACAATTGTGAAGGAGATGCAGTGCTTATTAGAAATACTTGAGCAGAGTAAACAGATTTACTGGACTAAGGTAGAAAGGTCTTAAGGTTGCTTAATGAAAAAAAAAAAAAAAAACAACACGAATGGACTATTGACCCGTGCTGTTGAAAGGACCTACATAATCCTCCTAATTGTTTATCTAGCTGCACATATATAGATGTATGTTAATAATTGAAGCAGGGAAAGCTGTCATAAAAAAAACATTCTCGAGCTAATCTGCTCATCCATGAGAAAGTGGCAGTGAAAAATATTTCTTTTTGAAAATTTCTGTTCAGATTTTTACCTCAGAATGAATACCTCTCTTCTGCCTTTTCTCTCAACTTCTTAATATCTTCTTCAGTGGGGCAAAACCTGTGTCTGGATTTTGTAGCTATGCAAAAACATAGCATTCAGCCCAGCCAAGGTCTCAGCCCAAACACAGAGCTGCTCTATTGCCAGACAACATGACCAGTGAGGAACAAAAGGTTTCCTAAAAGCTTGAGGTGACCTATTTTTTTTTTTTCTTCATCAAGATAAAATTACAGGAATATGTGCTGTGTGGGGTTACCTGGCTTTTGTCAGCTCTGCTGCTGTGTTTTCTTCCTTCAAAACTCACCCACCCACGGGTGATGCAGACAAAGCATGCCACAGCTAGAGGTGACTGGGGATCAGCACGGGTACTGCATGCAGCCCTGCTCCCTCAGATTTACTACACCTTTAGTTCAACGTCAGGCAGAGGCAGACGAAAACTCAATGCCTCTAAAAATTTTTGGGGCCAAGTGTTTCTTGACTGTAAGTTTAAACTAACACACTCTGGCCTTACTGAAATGGCTTGGCTCTGAGTCGTAGAGGGGCTTGGTCAGTTCCTAGTGGAGTTTTTACATGATTATCCCATTGCTTGTATTTTTTTTTAAGCGTTCAAGGTTCAGAGGAGGAAGAAATACTGCACACCCATTTCAGAAAAGGAGATTTTGTGTTTATGTGCATTTAGTGAATGCTTGCCAGTGGCGTGTTAGCTCAAAGCAATTGCTGACTCACTCTGTGGCCAAGTGTTTAATTAACTACAGCTGAAGATTTTTAAACAAATGTCCAGCTGTAGGGGAGTTGGGTTATAAAGGTGAAGTTTCAGAATTGTTTATTGTGCTTCTATCTTTTCTGTGAATACATCCTTATTTGCAAGACTGCTTTCACAGGTACCCTGAAAGCTGCTAAGCTTTCTGAGCACGTGCTTCTGTATAGGTTATGAGAGTTTCTTTTGATGGTGTGTTGGGATCAGCTGTGTCATGCAAGGGCATGTTCACGAAAAAAACTCCATTGACCTTAGACACGTGTCTTTATGAAGTTGACTAAGGGGACAGTGTTTGCTGTGATCCTTGCAGGGATCCTCTGAAGCTGACTAACCTTAAAAACAGGTTTTCTACAGTAATGAGGAATATAGTCATGCCAGGATGTGGGCTTTACCGGAGAGACATAACGAAGCCGATATCTGGAGGTTTCTGGAGAAAGTGGAAGATAGCTTCCTGACGCAGCTGATTAGTGAACCTACCAGGGGTGGTGCCCTGCTAGACCTTCTCTTCACAAACAGAGAAGGACTGGTGGAGGATGTGATTGTCGGGAACAGTCTTGGGCAGAGTGACCACGAAATGGTGGAGTTCTCTATTCTTGGCGGGGCCAGGAAGGGAACCAGTAAAACCACTGTATTGGACTTTCGGAGGGCTGACTTTAGGCTGCTCAGGACACTGGTTGGTGGAGTCCCATGGGAGGCGGTTCTGAAGGGCAGAGGGGTTCAGGAAGGCTGGGTGCTATTCAAGAGGCAAATCCTAATGGCACAGGAGCGGTCTATCCCCATGTGCCCAAAGATGAGCCAGCGGGGAAGACGACCAGCCTGGCTCAACAGAGAATTGTGGCTTGAGCTTAGGAGGAAAAAGAGGGTTTATAATCTTTGGAAAATTGGGCAGGCCACTAGGGAGGACTATAAGGATGTAGCGAGGCTGTGCAGGGACAAAATTAGGAAGGCCAAAGCTCATCTGGAGCTCAAGCTGGCTACTGCCGTTAAAGATAACAAAAAACGCTTTTATAAATACATCAACACAAAAAGGAGGACTAAGGAGAATCTCCATCCTTTACTGGATGCGGGGGGAAACTTAGTTACAAGAGATGAGGAAAAGGCGGAGGTGCTCAATGCCTTCTTTGCCTCAGTCTTTAGTGGTAAAACCGGTTGCTCTCTGGATACCCAGTACCCAGAACTGGTGGAAGGGGACGGGGAGCAGGATGTGGCCCTCACCATCCACGAAGAACTGGTTGGTGACCTGCTACGGCACTTGGATGTGCACAAGTCGATGGGGCCGGATGGGATCCACCCAAGGGTACTGAGAGAACTGGCAGAGGAGCTGGCCAAGCCCCTATCCATCATTTATCAGCAGTCCTGGCTATCGGGGGAGGTCCCAGCTGACTGGCGGCTAGCAAATGTGACGCCCATCTACAAGAAGGGCCGGAGGGCAGACCCGGGGAACTACAGGCCGGTCAGTTTGACCTCAGTACCAGGGAAGCTCATGGAGCAGATCCTCTTGGGAGTCATCATGCGGCACTTGAAGGGCAAGCAGGCGATCAGGCCCAGTCAGCATGGGTTTATGGAAGGCAGATCCTGCTTGACAAACCTGATCTCCTTCTACGACAAAGTGACGCGCTGGGTGGACGAGGGAAAGGCTGTGGATGTGGTCTACCTTGACTTCAGCAAGGCTTTTGATACCGTTTCCCACAGCATTCTCCTCAAGAAACTGGCTGCTCTTGGCTTGGACTGGCGCACGCTTTGTTGGGTTAGAAACTGGCTGGATAGCCGGGCCCAGAGAGTTGTGGTAAATGGAGCCAAGTCCAGTTGGAGGCCAGTCACTAGTGGCGTCCCCCAGGGCTCGGTGCTGGGGCCGGTCCTCTTTAACATCTTCATCAATGATCTGGATGAGGGCATTGAGTGCACCCTCAGTAAGTTTGCAGATGACACCAAGCTAGGTGCGTGTGTCGATCTGCTTGAGGGTAGGAAGGCTCTGCAGGAGGATCTGGATAGGCTGCACCGATGGGCTGAGGTCAACTGCATGAAGTTTAACAAGGCCAAGTGCCGGGTCCTGCACCTGGGGCGCAATAACCCCAAGAAGAGCTACAGGCTGGGAGAGGAATGGCTGGAGAGCTGCCAGGCAGAAAAGGACCTGGGAGTGATGGTGGACAGTCGGCTGAATATGAGCCAGCAGTGTGCTCAGGTGGCCAAGAAGGCCAACGGCATCCTGGCTTGTATCAGGAACACTGTGACCAGCAGGGCTAGGGAGGTGATCGTCCCCCTGTACTCGGCTCTGGTGAGGCCGCACCTCGAGTACTGTGTTCAGTTCTGGGCCCCTCGCTACAAGAAGGACATCGAGGTGCTTGAGCGGGTCCAAAGAAGGGCGACGAAGCTGGTGAGGGGCCTGGAGAGCAAGTCCTATGAGGAGCGGCTGAAGGAGCTGGGCTTGTTCAGCCTAGAGAAAAGGAGGCTCAGGGGTGACCTTATCACTCTGTATAAGTATATTAAAGGAGGCTCTAGCGAGATGGGGGTTGGCCTGTTCTCCCATGTGCCTGGTGACAGGACGAGGGGGAATGGGCTAAAGTTGCGCCAGGGGAGTTTTAGGTTAGATGTTAGGAAGAATTTCTTTACTGAAAGGGTTGTTAGACATTGGAACAGGCTGCCCAGGGAGGTGGTTGAGTCACCATCCCTGGATGTCTTCAAAAGACGTTTAGATGTAGAACTTAGGGATATGGTTTAGTGGGGACTGTTAGTGTTAGGTCAGAGGTTGGACTCGATGATCTTGAGGTCTCTTCCAACCTAGAGATTCTGTGATTCTGTGATCTTGATCGAGTGCGGTGGTGTCTTTATTTTTCCCAAAAAAGTTACCATCCGTAAAGGACCATAAAACATCCAAACCTGAAAGAAATTAGGGAGGAAAAAAAAAACCCTTTGGATATAGCTGTTGTTTTTTTGTTTGTTTATTTGTTTTTCAGGGTAACTATAGGTCAAAATCCTTCTTGGTCTTAGTAAGCTATTTGTAAATATGAAGTGTATAAACAGCAAAGTATGGTTTTAAGCAAACAGTTTTCTAAACATTTGGTTTAGATCCCTTTTAAAAGCTCTGTGGAGGGGGTGTGTGTGATAAAAATATTTTTTCCTTTCCTATTTGGTATACGTCTTCAGTGTCTGTGTGGAATGATATTTCATATAAATATAACTGGGTAAGGCTTTGTTTTTGATTTTATTCTATTTTTTTCTTCCTCCATCACTGCAAAAACTTGAATGAACCTTTCAACCTCTACCATTGCCCTACAATAGTACCACCAATCAATCTTTACGTGGTTATCCGAGCAGTTTACTTTATCGTTCCTCCTCTTGCCTGAGCCATCCAATAACCTTTTGTTTACTTGAACTTCGGCTGTCCTTCTGGACTGCGTGGAGGCAGTGGTCCTGGGACAAGAGTCCAAGGCAAAAGAGTTAAATTGACCCTGTTGCATGACAGCTCCACTCAGAGGCTTGCTGCTTAATTAACTATTTCTGTTGCCTGAGAGCCATTGTCATGGTCCAGTGTCCAAACTGCAAGGAAAAGCATCCAAAGCACTGCATGTTTTAAGGCCTAGGATGTCCAGAGACACCAGAGAGAAGGAGCCCCAGGAAAAGGTGAGGCTGTCCTGGGAACAGTGAACTGATTTGAGCTCTCCTCGTGCAGCCTCTCTCCCATTTCCATGCCTGTTGACACAGCAGGACCCTTTGCCAAGCTTCAGCCCCCCATATTCGGGCAGCTGCAGCAAAGGAGGCTGCAGGCATGTGGGTGCCAAGCTCACCTCTAGCTTTCTCATCATGTCTGTGAGCCTGAGCCATCCCTTGCCCACAGCCTAACCACAGATAGGATGTGGGATTACACCAAAGAAATTGATGGGTTAAGAAAGGTGGCAGCAGATTAAACTCTTAGGTGATGCCAGCGTGGGTCACTGAGTTCTGCCTATGCACTGGTCAGGCAACGAGGATCAGTGTATTTGCCAGTTAGGGATTCCTATGGAAATGTAGCTACAGATGTAAAAGGATCACAGTGAATCACATTGGTTAGCTCAGCCACACCTGATGGGCCTTCTGGAGCCCAGGCTTTATGCTTTGTGGAAGAGCCCTGCCTGGGTATGGCAAGGTGTCAGCATCCCGAGCTCCTTGCTGGGAGGAGTACAGTTTCTTCTGGTTTCTTCTTCCTTCTGTAGGGTCCTCTGAGGGTGATTTTCATTTTTCCTAACACTACTTGTGCTTCCCTCACAGGTCTGCAATTTTGTTACAATGGAATTTACTATATACAGTGCATTTTATCTATGTTAGATGCTTCATCTTTGTTATTTTTGTTACTGATAACGGGTCTTGTTGAGCTGCCAGGCCATGGTCCCGCAGCCCTCAGCACAAGCCCGTGCCCATCTCCTGTCCAGTGTTCCTCTGTGCTGTGCCTTGTGGCCCCTGCTCTCACACCAGGCCTGTGTTTCTCTGCATTGCATCATTACGCTAAGGTCATAAATATTTCATCCTACACAGAGAAGCTGCGTGCTACTGCTCTCTATAAAAGCTACGGTTATGCCATGTGAAGGTAAACAAAGCAAGTTAGGCGTAGCTACCCAGTCCTTAGAAAAATTGCTGTTACAGCAGCAAATAAAACCAATAAAAGGAAAGCTCCAGGCAGGTCTAGGCAAAGTCAGGCAAAGCGAGCCTGAAATACCTCAGAGCTGAGGCTCTGCAAAGTCAACATGGAGCCTGGATGCTGTAACCTGCAACAGCCATACCATCTGCACGGAGACCTAGCACACAGAGCCCCCAGACCACACATTTTCTGAACGTGGGTACTCATGCCATCATGAAAAGTTACCCCAAACCTAATCCTAGCCTGGGCACGCTATGTAGACTGAAATGCTGATACACAGTAGTGTTGAACATGGAAAGAAGCACTTGGTTTGGCCTGGCAAGCCCTTGTCAGATTGGTCACCTTCTTGCTTTGGGTTTGGCAGGTCTGAAACCTTACCTTGAGCCACAATCCCACATGTACATGCCCTAAAATTCATCCTGGGCCTCTTCCTTTCTCTAGGGATGAACCCGTGACACACCGTGACCATGCCCTACAGGGGTGCTGGTGGGGACACCTGTGAGAAAACAAGC